TGGCTTTCTGAACGACACTGAAATATGTGTGAAAATAAAGTACGTGGCTATGGTCTATAATCTACACATCAGGGACTATTAGATATTGCATATTCAAGTGCTTGGATATATCCTGGACCAAATCCTATACTCAGTTGAGTATAGATCATTTTGCCTGAGCACAGAGGATATGTTCAAGATGTGTTCGACATAGGCCACGTGCGTGGGAAAGTACTTTGCCGAAATAGCCGATTATTACCGGGCGGTGTTTCGTCGAAGAGTGTTATTACCGGGGGATTTCTATGTTATTTACGGGGGGCGTAATGTACTGGAATGTCATGAAAGTAGGTAAATTATTACCGGGGAACTGAAAAATTATTACCGGGGACCTGATTTATTTTTTGAACACTTTAACACTCATATAGTCGTGCATAAAATCACCAGCAGAGTGCAGCAACAATCCCATTCCTGACCCCCCAGAAACACTATCGACTCAAACCCTTAAACTTGAAAATGCTTTTGTCCCGCGCAGTCGCGATCATACTTCCTATTTTCCTCTTGCAAGTCACAGCAAAGTAAGTCATTTCAGTTCACAGGGGACTCGGAGGAGCACTAACGCATAATTCTAGATTCTTGGTATGTCAAACGTCAACTCTAGATCATCTCATCCATTTTTACACATCGCAAGGTGTCTAAACGGGTACCTGATCCAGCACCGGAGCCTTGTAGCACTTCTGGATGCTCTCAGTGTCGTAGGCTAGATGGACGTTGTGTTGTTCAGACGACGGGTTGAGTCAAGGGAGACTATGACTGAAATGGACTAGTGGTTCCCCAAGTTTTGATGTCGGAGGATGGCTGTTGTTGGTTCAAGTGTAAAATGAAGCAAAGCCTGTTGAATGGACATGGTCTGCCTCACGTTACTCTGAGCTGTTCGACTCGTCTTTCAGTGCAATGTGGCTGGTGAGATTCTCCGATTGCTCGAGCATTTCCTTTCGGGCATTCTCTGAGACCCAGAATGGCATACATTCCCCGAGATCTTTCACGGCTCCAATTCCACTGGTTGCGATGTGATTTAAGTTTCAACTTTGAATGGTCTCTCTCCCGCCTTTCAATACGTCGTTGGCTGACTCGGACATCATCGGTCAGAGGTTTTGATGCGAGATATCATCGTCGCGGCATCGATCAGGTTTGAACTAACTTTAGCCACCGTCGAAGAATATATAAAGGTAGAAGTGAGGAATGATTAATGAAGCCTAACAGCAAGAATGCGCTTCCATTGCCTGGTGAGCTTCCTCCTTCTGTCGGTCACGGTCATGGCCGGGCATACGTACGTGTTCATCCAGGCATATCTTCCAATTCTAACATTTCCCCCAACAGATCCAAGTCTGAGGTATGTCTATGCTCATTGTCCCGGTCCAAGTTGCGTATTAACGAACTGTAGGCCCAAAAACGTTATCCAGATCCAAACCCAAACCCAGAGGCATGTGCTCAGGGAGAGTGCTTGTCGTGTCGTGGATCAAATTGTGTTGTTGGGATCAAGGTTACGGATGGTGAACGTTGAACTGTCAGGTTGAATGTGTAGCTGCTCTAGAAATTAAGTCACTGTGATCATTTATTCTTGTATTGTTCTGACCGAGCGTCTCGTCGAGATGGGAAAGGGTCCCTAAAATGGATATTAGATATTAGAAAACCTGCTGTGGACCGACGCGATTAGCGCAGGGGTGGTACTACATGGTACTACTCTCAAAGCTTGAGCTTGATCACCGACTTGTCCGAAGCACAGGTTCCTTATCTTTGTTCTTAAACCTAAAGTCTAAACTTTTGAGTTACCTGCTGCGGACTGTGCCCAATCAGCACACGGGGTCCTGTAAACACGGCTAGAATTTGACGGGCAAGGCTCATATCATGCATTCTAATATTGTGTACGTAGCGCTGAATGGTGCTTACACGAAATCGAACTTACTGCTAGTACCATGTTATCCGATTGCCGAATATAGAATTATTAGCGCCGATGAGACGCTCACAGCTAGGGGGTTTGAATCCCGATTCCTCAGCTCAAACGTTCAAAGTCCACCATCAGGAACCTGAGAGGTCAGCCGACCCCAAACCACGACCTACCCTTGGATTATGCCTCTTCGCATTAATCGTATTTTCGGTTGGTCACCAGTGGCTGCTGTAACCAAGGTCCGAAATCCCCAAATTTAGACTCTAGAGCGAATATGAACAAACGAAAACGTGACGAGCTGCTATTACTGTTTACATCTCATCGACAAGATCATTCAGCCAGCATCCGCGAACTTGTGGATCATACACTCACTCAAGAATTTGATGCGGTTTCTAAATTCTTCCGTGTGGTACTTCTCTTCCAAAGTCCCCAGTTTGAACTCTGAATTCAAGATGAAAACCTTGGCTATGGGTTTGCATTCCTAAATGTACGCTTTAGTGCTCTCGTATGTATCATGATGATCAAAGGCGATCGCATCAAGCAAAACAATCGTTATGACATTTAAATTTATCCATTCCCCATCTCCCTAAACCTCCCCCGACGACCAAAGAACGCTCTGACTCTAAATTAACGCTCCGAGTCCGGAATTGAAACCCCAACAATACAGTGTGATCCACGACAAGATATACACCCTCTTCCATCACTACCGCATGGGTTGGGAGTGCGCTTCTGGGGCTACGATATGCTCGTCGTTAATATGCTACGCACTTGATTCTCGGAGGAATGAATCTACCTCTTTGAAGTTGGGGCTTGAAGGTACTGCTGATGACAGCACAAGTGGAAGGATGAAAATGATGGGACTGAGGAAATGCATTTATGAAGTTGTTTCTGACCTTTTGGGCTTTATATATAGATTTCCGAATTCTCAGGTTCTCGCGATGATGCTGTATAATCATGATTGATAGATAGATCTGAAGCTTGATGTGAACCAGTGCCATTACCAAAACAACACGGGGGATAATACAAAAATTTAACCATCCTGGCCGGGAAGGAATTTGAAATGGTCGGACTCGGACTCGGACTCGCGCGCGCCAACTACCAAGTGTGTTGAAAATGAGCAAGATCCCCTTGGACAAGGTCGTGCACTGATGATCAAGAAACGGGATGTTCAAGTTTGAGTTTAATTTTAGGTCTGATATCTGAGTTCCGAGCGGCATCAGGGTTCTTCGCTTAGTGTATATTCTGTCAAGGTCACAAGTCCCGGCAATAGAATTTAGAAACACGCATCTTTGATATTGACGGGAATCTTGTTATTGGAGAAGGTCGCAAGTATTTTGCTGTGGAAGTCTGAATTGGATTGCGTATGGTTTTTAATAGGGATAGGGAGTTGGATAAGAAGTTGTGGATGATGGCTTAGTTCGGACTAGACTCGGGAGTATGTTTTTGTTTTGTTTGTCGTTAGTTGTGGGGACGTGTTTTTTTGAGTAAACGCGTTCACGGGAAATCGAAATCGAGCCGATGAGACCAGGTAGCTTGATTCCCAATCCCGGGCCTCAGCTCAACGTCTAAAGTCCACCTTGATTTCAATAACACGATGCAGGCAAGCACTTGTTTAGGTTTTAGCCCTCGTTCCTGAAGCACAAACGCCACGGCCTTCTTCGCATTACCGTATTTTGGCTACCCGAAATCAGAAATCAGAAAACGACACCTGACAAGTTTGATGCGTTTCCTTCGCGTGATGAGGGATGTAGGAAGTTGTGGGTTGTAACTCTTTCCTCCGAGTCCGAGTCTGCGTGGGATACGACCAACGTGGTTTTTGTTCGTCGTTCTTTTTTGTCGAGCCTCCCAAATCCCGCGCCTAGATGGCGAATTTCCGCGCGGTGCTGATGAAACCATAAACTAAACCAAATCCCTAGGACTCTTTGAGTGAATTTGATACCCACAGAATCCAGAAACACCCTGCACCAAAAAGACAGGGTATGCGAGCGGGCCGGCATGAGATTGGGAACGATACATGGTTTGGAGTTGGAAGGTTGGGTGTTCAAGGAGGCGGGGGTGTGGAGGGGGTGCGATGTGAAGCGCAAGGGAACCAGAAGGAAGAACGTGGACGGGGGCGGTGTTTGAAAAGCGAGGTTAGTTAGTTGGGAAGGAGAGATTATTTCTATCATGGAAGGCGGGAATTGGAGGCGTGGAAGTGGAGGGACGAAAAAAAAGAAAAATGTTCGACGTACCAGTTCGAATAAGCTCTTCCTTCCTGCGCTTTAACGACCTACTCGGTGTTTGACATACCCATACTATAATGGACGTGGCTATGGAACCCAGGTGCGTGAGGTGGAAGGTGGGTGTGCGTTGATTTGGGTGAAGGAGTGCGTGAGAGAGGGTGCGTTTGCGGCGAAACGGGAAGGGGTGAGTGGAAGAAAACGGAGGAAACGAGGTGTTTGGGAGTTCGATTTCTGATTGTACAGCCGGTAGACGAACTTCAACGGGAACCGTCGTCGGTGTATTGAAAAAGGTATTGCCGGAGATTTGGGTAGAAAGCTGAAGCTGAAGGTTTGTTGTCGAAGGGCCTGGGTGTGGGAGAGTGAAAGGACGAAGTGGGCGGGGAGCGAGTGATATCGATAAAAGCCTGAGATGGAACGATAGCTGCTGTTCATATCAGTAAACTGGCGACTCACCTGGGGAAATAGGCCGTACTTGGTGAATACAACCGTGGACCTAGTGCGAGAACGTTAATTGGCAGGCGCTGGGTACACGAGATGTTGTGTTTAGGGTACAGTGTGACTCGAAATCGGAGCATCGGTGTGTAATGTGTTTGAGATTGAACCTGGACATGAAGAATACCAACGCATGCGACGGAGCGAGTGTGCGGTGAGGTATCTAAGCGGTAGGCGTAGAGGGATTTGATTTTTGAGGGACGTGAACTGAGAGGTTGACGCGAAGGGAGAGAGAGTTTGTGTGTGGAGAGTGCTTCGGGTTGGGTGTTGAGTGGAAGAGAGAAAGATGACCTGTGGAAGGGAATGGATGACGTGGCGTGTCGAAAAAGATCAGGAGGTGCGATGTTGTACGTAGAGGAACAGGTGCTATAGTGTAGTGGTTATCACTCGGGATTTTGATTCTAGTATTTGTAGGACTATTCCCGAAACCCAGGTTCGAACCCTGGTAGCACCTTTAAAAAAGGAGCGTCGCACTTTTGTTGAACAGAGTATGTAAGCAGCCCTTCCTTTCTCCTTCTCTTTCACCACACGCCCGAGATGCCATATCCCAGACGTACCTCAAGCAAACGACTATTATTTCGCCAACCACGACACCGCTTCTCTTTTCATACACTGGGTGGAGATGATGATGGGTTAGAGCTGGAAGGCAGACGACGAAGACGGGCTTTTTTTTTGCACCGCAGTCGACACCGCACGCCAAAGAAGATTATCCTCTCCCTGCGTCGTTGGGTTGGGACGGTTCGACATCTCCCTTCCGACGACTACTCGACTCTACCTCGAATGAAGAACACCACGCATCAGACGCGGCCTCACGCATCCCACTACGTCCTTTGATCGATCCCTCTCGATATCTGTCGCACCTTCGTTTTCCTGCCTACACGACGTCGACACCATAGCTCTTTTCGTACAACCAACACCCAACGCTCTTAGTTCGTTCATACCGCCGTGCGTTTGGGTTTTGGGTTTGGGTGAAGATGCCGATGATGGGTTGGGTCGGAAAGAGATGACGATCTACACTCTTCCTGCACCAAAAACCAGGACTCGACTCTACCATACTTCCTCTGCACCCGAGAAGACTACCTGGGTTGTTTCAGGCCGTACTTGGGTTAGGTTGGTGGAAAGAGACGATGAACGGCAGGACTCTGAGCTCTACCCCTTCAACACCACCATACACCGCTTGCCTTTACCCTTACACTTCACCTCCCCTTCATCTCATTTGTTCGTGGTCCGCACAACCCAAACCACCGAAAATCCGAACTTGGCTTTCCTCCCTTCCTCGGGTCCGTATCGTTGGATTCGGGCAGCGTGAAGAGAGAAGAGAGAATAACCTCCTTTCTACCTTTGGTTTGAGGTCTAGGCGTCCTCATCGTTGGTTTTGGGGAGATGTCGAGGGGGAGTGGGGTGTTGGGTGTCGGAGGAGGGGGTGGTGCGGGGGAATCGGAAGTCGGACTAGCGAGGTAGGGGGCAGTGGGTTCAAAGGCAAGAAAAGGGAAGGGAAGGGGCGAAGGGAGGAATCGTTAGTCTGGTCTGGATTACGGACATTTTCGTTGCAAGAGTACGAAGCTGAAGCACAGACGAAGATCAAACACGCGGCTTGGGGGCCAGAGTCGGTTCGTAATCTCGTTTTCAGGCCTCAGATTTTCATGGGGGGATTTTTAGCGCTATATTTTGGTGTTGGTGTAGAGTAGGGCTGTTTTAGTTCGCACACAAAAACGAAAAAACGTCACTGGAGGTATCTTCAAGCGTCCCAAAACAAGAAAACGAAAAAGGAAAGACACCACCTGGCCCCGGGGGTTTTTGTATCTCGATAAAGGGCGGTTTTGTTTTGTTTCGTTTTCGATGGTACTCGGAGGGTTGGGTGACGAGGACGACCTCCGTTTTAGCCTTTTCAGGGAAGGAATTTGAATCTTGATGCGTGGGAGCAGAGTTTGAATGAACGACGAGCCACGCGAGAGTATTCCGAGTCAGGATCAGACTGCGATTACTTTCTTGCTCGGACGTTATCGCGTTTCTTTACCTCGGATGGAGGAGTGCGGCGTGAGAATATTCCGAGTCCTTGTCCATTCATGAACTTGAACGGGGTGGCAACTTCCACCTCCACCTCCACCGGGCAAGGTCACTCGATCGAAATTCAAGTTCGCTCTGAATTGGTGCGTCAACGCGTCAACCGCAGGCTGGAAGTTCAAAGGTAGTCCTCCATGAACGAAGACGTGGTGTGTAGACAAAGAATAACCATACGCCAGTGGTGAAGTCTCCGCGCGCCGAGTTTTCAGATTCGTCTTCGTCTTCGTTGGTCGACGGAGATCAAGCTGCACTTTTTGATTGCAATATTCATATTCATCTCGACCTCTAAATGATATACATACAAATAATCCTTCATTGATATTACTCCTCGACTCGGGACTCGGCCATCAAGCCACGCGAGAGTATCGTATCTTGGTCGCCGATTTGAATCGACGCACGCTTTCTTTCTCTCGTTGCCAACTTGCCATCTCTTCCCACTGCCAGACAAACATTTCTGGAGGGGATACGAGCACACGGAAAGATTGGGACCAGCCTGAGGTATGGTTTCAATTTGGGCTTGATTCTTATTTCTTGTTACCTAGTTTAAGATGAAGGGATTCGAGAATTTCGTTTGGCGATCCTTTGCGGTCACGGTGCGGCGGAGAGAGCGGGGAAACAGAGGCAATGGAGGTGAGTGTGTTCTTTCTCAGGGTTCTAACTGTTAATGACCATTTTGCCTACCAACAGGATTTCGAACTATCAAGTCAGGGTTGGGCCTACACTTTGGCCACGCGAGAGTAATTTTGAATCGGCCCGGGGGCATGATCAGACTGCGATTATTTTCTTGCTCTCCAGGGCTGATTCCAAGTGTTGGTTCTCGCGTTTCTTTACCTCGGATCAAGCACTGGCGGGAGTGCGGCGTGAGATTATTCCTTGTCCATTCAACAGGGTGGCAACTTGAAAAATTCACTATTCACTGGCAGCACACCTTCACCTTCTCTGACTCGCTTGCAGCCCACTCGATCGAAACAATCTAGTCAATTTCAAGTTGGAGACGCTCTGACTCTGAAGCCGGGGATGAGTTGGATGAGCTTGAAGCCTAAGGCAGATGAACGTTTACTGTCCCACTCGCGGAGGAAAGGATCGATGCGTCAACCGTGACCTGGGCTGCGATTCTCATCTGGAAGTTCATATCATCGATCACAGGTCAAGCCTCGCCCGGCGGTTCATAAATAATGAGCTCGTCCGAGTCAATCTAGTTCCATTTCCTCCCTGCTTCAAGTTCGTAGTCGGCTTGGCGAAGAGGCGGTATGTAGACAAAAAAATAACCGCTGCTTCGAGTTGTGGTGAAGTCTCCCGTCAGATTCGTCTTCGTGTATCGATTCGGTGGCGGGACCTGGTCGACGGAGATCAAAGCACCGTGACGCTATACTTGTTTATTGCGATATTCATGCACATTCCTCTTCACGAATCACAACGCCGACCTTGAAATAATATATGTACAATCAATCCCGGAGTTACTGCGGTCGTCAAGCCACGCGAGAGTATCTTGGTCGCCGATTTGAACAGCGCTAATGCTGATAAAGATCCTGAGACTGCGATTCGTGGGCACGTAGCGTGCACGTTGTATGCACGCTTTCTTTCTCTCGTTGTCATGTCCATCCACGGCTCTTCCCAGACAAACATTTCGGGAGGGAATCTGGCGGCTGTCGCAGGGGATCAGCATATAACTCATTATCATGTACGAGCAGGCAACGTGATACAATGTCCGCATGGAAATTCGATACAAGATTGCCACAGCGCTTGGGACCAGGTATGTTTTGAGCTTGATTCTTATCACCTAGTTTCACTGAAATATATGCTACAGTATCAGGAGTTTACAATGAAAGATATCTATGTCGAGAAGAAGCTGGCCGAAGCTCGGGCTGTGAAAGGATTGGATGCCCATCGAGAATTTCATTTGGCTATCTTTCGCGGTGGAGAGAGCGGGGAAAAGTACTTATTTGTTCAATATCGCGGTCCTGAGGCAATGGAGGTGAGTGTATTCTTCCTCAAGGCTCAGAAATATATCTTTTGATGACCATTCTATACTTTTTCAAATTACTGGTATAGGCCTACCGACAGGATTTTGAGAATTTCTCCACTATCAAGTGCGGGATGACTTTCACACGCAAATTTATGCTGAACTTGACATGAATACTTTTTACTATTCAGGGACCCTGAACGTCTTCAGCTTTTTGGCTACAATAGTTGGAAAGAGTTGCCATCATTGATTTTCTACAACCGTGAGACGCACTTGAAGAATCCAAGTGACCATGCTAATACCACTTCAAACGCTCTTCAGCGTGTCTCTTGGACTCTTGCCAAAGGAGATTTTCGCCTAGTCTTCTCGACCAGGACCCCGAAGTATTGGAGCCGCACGCTCAGCATAATAGCCCAAAGGTTTTGACCTCTACCTTGGATGATTCAACAGGTTCTTGCTCGACACAACCTCAGGAGGAACTTTGGATGGGCAAGGCCGTTGGTATTACGAAGGCAGGTTCGGATTACTCGTCCGATGATATGAACTTCCAAGTAGGGCAGACCATTGGCATCACGAAAAAGAAGAAGAAATCCAAGATGCATGAGTGCGAGATATGTCATAAATTGTTTCCCCGGTGAGTGTCCCTGTTCCTGCCTTATTCATTAGCTTATACCAACTTTCTCAAGTCCAAGTGGGCTCAGGACGCATATGAACACACACAACAATGTCAAGCGTATGTGAACCATTTTCTCCTTGCTATAAGACATTCTCACAATGCCATTCGTAGCATTCGTGTGTATCTTTCCGGGATGTAACAGATCCTTCACGGTTCGCTCCAACGCTAAACGGCACCTTCGTACCCATGGTGTCCTACCAGAAACGCTTGTCCCTCCTAGCCTTGAATATATGGTGAACTTTGGTGCTCCCATGGTCCCCGACTCGCAAGGGCAACAATTCAGCACACTTCCGCCAAAGCTGAAATGGATGCCGACCAGTCTTCTTGACAGAAACAACTTGATCAATTTGGACCCGGTCTCTGAAGACGGAGAAGACTTTGACTCAGAGTTGGACGAGCTTGAAGATGATCCGGCAAGTCAAAGTTGCACCCAGGCGGTCAATGTCCCGCTCCTGGCGGTGGCTCCAGCGCATGTCGAGGATAGGATTGGTGTGGATTGGTGTGGAGACCGGAATTCTTATCCTGAACACGGACCTTACCCATACTATCCAACACAGGTCAAGCGTGCTCCTGGCTGCCCTGTTCATTACTAACGAGCTCGTCAACTTTCTAGTTCCATTTTCTCCCCGGACCTTCATATTCTTTGCTTCGTAGTCTTATGGCAATCGGTTAGGCGACACATGAACGAAGAGGTGGACAAAAAAATAGCCACAATAGCCACCATTCAATAAGCGCCTTAGGCGCTTCAAGT